ATCAGCGTCGTCATCATCAGCCTTACCCTCACCACCATCATCATCATCACCATCACCATCACCGTCGTCAGCATCATCATCATCATCATCATCATCATCATCATCATCATCATCATCATCATCATCATCATCATCATCATCATCATCATCATCATCATCAGCGTCATCATCATCACCATCATCATGATCAGCAGCAGCATCATCAAAATCAACATCAACATCAGCATCAGCATCAGCATCAGCATCGTCATCATCATTAGCAGCAGCATCATCATGATCACCATCAGTTTCACGATCACAATCACCATCACCATCACCATACTCATCATCCTCCTCAGCATCACGATCGTCACCATCAGAATCGTCATCCTCCTTCACCTTATCATCATCTTCAGCATCATCATCATCAGCAGCATCATCATCACCACCATCATCATCATCAGCAGCAGCATCAGCATCATCATCATCATCATCATCATAATCGTCATCATCATCATCATCATCATCATCATCATCATCATCATCATCATCATCCTCATCCTCATCATCATCATCATCATCAACATCATCATCATCAGCATCATCATCATCACCACCACCACCATCATCATCATCATCATCATCATAATAATCATAATCATCATCATCATCATCATCATCATCATCACCAGCAGCACCGTTACGAACAGCGTTGAAATCATCAGCATCATCATCATCATTCGCATCAGCATCATGATCATGATCATCATCTTCTTGTTCTTCTTCATCATCATCGTCATCAGCATCGTCATTGTCATCGTCGTCGTCATGGTCGTCACCATCATCATCAGCAGCAGCATCCTCATCCTCCTCATCATCATCATCATCATCGTCATCATCAGCATCATCATCACAATCATCATCACCATCATCATCAGCAGCAGCAATATCCCTCATCCTTCTGCGCATCCCTGCCTCCTCCTGCTTCTCCTTCTCCTCCTCCTCCTCCTCCTCCTCCTCCTCCTTCTCCTCCTCCTGCTCCCCCTCCAAATTCGTCTTGTTTCCATCCTCAAACCCCGTCCTCCTCCCCCTCCCCCCTCCTTCCTCCCCCCCTTCATCATGCTCCTCCCTTGACGACTCGGGCGATACCGCCGACGGCGCCGACGACGGAGGCGGCGACGACAATGTCGACGGCGACGGCGACGGCGGTGACGACGCCGATGCCGACGGTGCTGTCAGGCAGGGCGGCCGACGCGCCGCCGCCGCCGCGGGCCTCCGAAGCCTGCAGCGCGCCCGCCGCGCGGGCAGCCTGGCCCCCGCCGCCGCGCTCGGCTACGAGCCCCCCGCCCCCCGCAGAGGGGGGAGGTGCCCGGGGGGGAGATCAGAGCAGCGCCAGGTGGGGGGGATGGGGCTCGGCGGGAAGGGGGAGCGCATGGAGGAGGAGGAGGAGGAGGAGGAGGAGGAGGAGGAGGAGGGGAGGAGGAGGAGGAGGAGGAGGAGGAGGCGGAGGAGAGGAGGAGGAGGAGGAGGAGGGATGGAGGAGGAGGAGGAGGAATGGGGTGCCTCCCTCTGCTTTCGTCCCCTGGCAGCCGGGAGCGCATCGACCCCCCAGTCGAAGGGGGATCGAGGCTCGAGGTCTTCGCGCGGCTCCGTCGGCCCTCGCTGGCGCTCCAGCCGCTGCGTGCCGTCCAGCAGCCGCGCCCCGCCGGGGGCGTTCCAGCCTCCTCCTCCTCCTCCTCCTCCTCCTCCTCCTCCTCCTCCTCCTCCTCCTCCTCCTCCTCCTCCTCCTCCTCCTCCTCGGGGGGGGGCCGCGATCGCCCCGAAGGGGCCGTCGGAGAGAGCCGAGCTGTGGCCCGCAAGCCACACCAGGACGGCGGCCTGCCTCCAGGAAGGCAGGTCGGGCGAGCGCCCACCGCGGCAGGCGGCCGTCGCGGCGGGCGGGTGTTGCGACGTGCTCTCGCAGAGCTCACCCCGTCGGACGTCGGCCCCCGAGCTGGACGAGGGAAGGAGGCAGGGGGGGTAAAAAGGGGGAGGGAGGAAGAGGAGGAGGAGGAGGAGGAGGAGGAGGAGGAGGGAGGAGGAGGAGTGAGGGGAGGGGGGGGGAGGGGGTGGGAGGGGGGGAGGAGGGGAGGGGAGGGGGAGGAAGAGGAAAGATGAAGAGTGGGACATAGAGGTAGTGAAAGAGGGGGAGGAAAAGGAGGAGGGGGGGAAGAGGAGGGAGTAGATGTAGGGAAGAGGAGGAGGACCGAACACGAAGAGAGGTGCCTGTCCCGAACAGGAGGAGACGGGGAGGAGGGGCAGGAGCGGGGAGGGAGAAGGAGGGCGAGAAGGAGCAGCAGCAAGGGAGGAGGAGGCTTCCTCCTCCATCCCGCTTCCTCCCACATGCCCCCTCCCCTGTCGCACCACCAAACGTGACCGTACGCCGGGTAGGGCGGTTCGCCAGACACTGCCCTACAACATACTTTCCTGATGCTCAAAACCATAGGTACACCACGGATCGGAAACTGGCCGTTTCCAAATG